GTTATCTACTGTTATATAGCTCGGATTTATCGTAGATAAAACGATAATATGACCAAATAAACTATAGATTGAATAATCAATTGATTTTTTCGATAGATTTTCTGCATTCCGTTTTTAAGATATACTCTTTTATAATAGATTTACTATGATAATATATTTGAAAATAATTTATTATAAAAATAGATAAGTTTTTATTTAAATCTAAATAATTGATTAGTTGTTTTTTAATAAAGATGAACGTTTTTGTTAAGATTTTTTATCATTGATAGAAATAAGATTGAATCAAAGAATACGATCAGATCGTTTAGAGAAAATGAAATAGCATTCATTTAATCAATCTCTATTTAATAACTGACTACGTTAAGATTTTTGTTTTTTTTTTAATTATTTCCATTTCTAGAATAAATAATGAGACCAACAGTTCAATATAAAATATAAAAACAAACAAAACGAGAATCGATTTATTTAGATCTAATAGATCTTCCCTTGTGAGTAGACAATTCTTTTCTCTAAACTCATTTTCAAATATAAACATATATATTCTTCGATTTTTTTCAAAAATCTTTTCGAAAAATTTCGTTCAACTTCGAAATAAAATAAAATAAATTTTTTTTTCAAATTAAAAATGATGTAATCTTGTTCAACTATGATATTTATCTTATTAAGAAGAAAATAAATCTCTATAAGGATAATATGACGATATAGAAATCAATTTCTACTCTCATTCTCATAATAGAATTACTCTTGAGACAAGTTTAATAACTTCTATATAAAAACAATTTTTTATATTCAACATTTAACAACTAGAATATCGATAGATCAACATCTTTATTCAATAGAATAGTCAATATTGAGAGATAAACTCTTATATTTAATTAAATTTAACTATATTTTATTTAAATTCTTCTATAACCTTTGCCTCTTGTTATCTATTATCTATTAATTCTAATAAAGATAATTTATATTGAATAAACAAACAATTTATCAATTAAATATAATTATTAGAAATAAATAAATCTTCACCTTATCAGATTTTTCAACAATTAACTTAAATGATTTTTTTAAGAAATTTTGGAGAATATCGAACAAATAAAAGAATTTTTCTATGATTATAAACAAGAGATTGATTATTTTTCACATATGAATTTGTTGAAAATATTTTTTAAATTAATATTGGATAAATCTATGATAGAAAAGTGACTATTTAACAAAATAATCGTTAAGATAAAAAGATTTTTAAAAAAATTATTATTGAAGATAAATAGAAGTTTTTATTATTTGAAAATCTATATAAAATAATAAAAAAAAAACTTTATTATATATAATAATTGTTTTACTTTTGTAAACATGATTATTGTTCCTCGTTTATTGCAAATATTTTATCGAATTATGACAAAACAATTATTTATATTATCTTATATAAATAAATCTTGAATATATATTCATATAAATTAAGAACAACTCATTTATAAACGATTTTTTTTGAAAAATTATAGAAAAAATCATCAAAATTAAATAATATAATAAATTGTTAGTTATTATATTATCGATCATCGTCAAACATGTTTATTATCTATTATATATTTGAAAATTTTTCAAATAAATCTCCTTTTACTTTAATTTAATCTATTAAATAAATCGATTTCTAGAACAATTTATTATTATATTTAACAAAAAAAAAACAAAACATTTCTCATTTTATATAAGAAAAAATCTTTCAATAAATATTTTTCAATAGAAATATTTCTTAGATAAATCAAACTTGATTTATTCTTTGAAAACAACAAAACCAAATTTCTATAGAGTTATTCAAAATAACAATAGATTTATTATTTTAATTATTTCTAAACATTTTCCTCTTTTTTTATAGTTTTCTAATAAGATAAATTTATAATATTAACTTATATTTATTATATTTAACATAAGATTATTCTATTCGATTAACTTTATTCAATAAAAAATTCCATGACTATTTTCAATAGAATTAATATCATAAATAGATAGAATACGATAGATATTCGATTCGATTCGATTCGATTTATTGATTTATCTTTAAATTGAAAATATACCTCCAATTATTGGTAGATGTCGTTAATAAACAATTTTCATCAAAATAAAAAAAAATGAAAATTCTATAAAATAATGTTTTAAAAAAAATTTCTTTTATTTGAAAATAATTAAACAAAGAAAAAAGAATTCATCGAAAGTAAATCAATCAACGAACGATTGAACTATAAAATGGTGAGTAGATATTATTTCAAATAGAACATTCATTGGATGAACTTTTGACCGTTGTTTAAGACAAACCGATACAAAAGAAAAATAAAATTGTAGAAATTCTATTTGTCAAAAATGGCTCCAACACGTGGATCACGTAAATCTGAAACAGTTGCTGCATCATCATTATCAATTGAAAATCAATTATTAGCTGATATAGATGAATCAATTAATTTTGATGATGATGAATGTCAAACAAAAGATGATAAAGATTCAAATCAATCTACATTTGATCCATTTTCAACAAAACAATTTCAATCAAAACGACGACGTGGATTTCGTAAAAAACCTCGACCATTTAGTGAAGATGATATTGAAGCATTACAACAATTATCATGTGCTAAAGCATTTTCCAAATTTCATTCAAGAATTAAACGTGAAGCTGAAACAGATGAATCAATTGGAGATTATCTTAAAGCTTGTGCTTTATTAGCAACAAAATTACGTCATTGTAAAAATGAATTTTTAGAAGGTGATCATGCTGATCAACAAATTGAAAATTATTATAAAGATCGTCTTGAAGAATATTCAACATTATCAAAACAAGAATTTTTAAATTTAGCTGAACGTTATAAATCTGATATTCATCATACGATTGATAAATGGCTTAAAAAAAGAAGTAAATCACGATCACATGCAAAAAAAGCTAATCCAGGAGAATATAAACGAAATATGTTATCAGATGCTCTTCAAGCTCTTGCTAACAAATAATTTCTTTTTTTTTCTTTCTTATTGTCTTTTCTTTCTTTCTTTTTTTTCAAATAAAAAATTTTTTCAGATGAATTCTCTTTTTTTTAATATTTATTCTGTTTATCCTGAAAGAGGAAATGATAATATGTATGGAACAACTAAAGATGATCAATGGCCAAAATGTTCACCTGCTTCATTACGTGATCAAGCAACTATTTTAATAAGACGAACTATTCCATGGAGACAACGTTCTTCACTTCTTCTTCCACAACATATTCAATTTATTATTGATGATTTTCCATCTGGACTTAAACCTCTTTTACATTTTCATTTTCATAAAAAATAATTTTTTTTTTCTTTTTCTTGTTTTTTATTTTAGACAAATATTACTTCTCATATAAATAATGTTTACTTTGTCTTTCTCTTTTTCTCTCTATTTTTTTTTCTTCACTTAACTGATTGAAAACTAGACGGAGGCTGTTGTTGTCGAATATAACAATTCCAATGGCTGATCAATCAGATGAAATTATATCTCGTCTTAGAGGAATATCTTCTGATGAAAAAAGTGAAATGGGAAAAATGAAATGTAGAATAGATGATCAAGCTCGTCTTATAATGATGTTAAAGAAACGAAATGATGAATATATTTTAGCAAATATGGCTTTGGATAAACATTCAATTGAATTAGAAAGACAAATTGAAGAATTACGTGATAAATTAGAAGAAGAAGAAAGATTGAAAGATAAAATTGAAGAATTAAGAAAAACAATTGAACAATTAAAAACATTAAATATTCAATGGGAATTAAAAGAACAAGAATTAAATAAAAGATTTTTATTTGAAAATAATAAATATGAAAATCTCCAACAAGAATTATCATCTCAATATAAAAAAATTCAAACATTAGAAAAATTATTAGAGTATCTTATACGAATTTCGTTTTTTTGCTTTTTTTTTCAATTTATTTTTTTTTCATTTCTTAGAGAATCATATGAAAATTTTCATCATTTAAAACATGATTCAAACAAACAATTTCAACAAAGAGATCAGATAATTGACAATCAACGAATTGAAATCAATCAAATACGAACACAACTACGAAGTTTTATATGACTTTTTTTTTCAAATTTTCCAATTATTTCAACGGTTTTTTTTTTTTCTTTTTTAAGATCTCGAACAAATAATAGAAGAAAAAGAAAAAACTATTCAACAAATCGAACAAGGCCATTTAAATCAACTTGATCAATTACAAATAAATAAACAATCATTAGAACAACAAACAAAACAACTTGAAAAACGTCTCCATGTATTGTTTTAATACTTCCTCGGTTTTTTTTTTATTTTTTTAAATTAGGAATATATGACTAATGAAGAAAAACTTCGTCAAAAATTAACTAAAACGGAACATTTGTTGAATGAAGCTAATCAAAGATTTATGTAAAAACTAATAACTAATTTATTTTTTCTTTTTTCTATTATTTAACAATCGAATTTTACTTTAGAAATGAAGAAGAACGTGTTAATTGTGATCTTCGTGTTGAAAAAGCTCAATTGAAATATATTGAAAGTGAAGAAAAAATCGAAAAACTTCAACAGGTTTATTTATAATTTTATTATTTTTCTATATTTATTTAACAAAAAAACATATTTAGGAATTTATTGCTTATAAAAATTATACATCATCTTTATTAAACAAAGAAAAACTTTTAAATGAAAGATTACAACAATTATTTAATGGAAAGACAACATAATCTTTTTCTTTTCTTTCGGTTTTTTTTTTGTTTTTTCTATTATTTTTTCTTGAATGTTAATATAGGCAAAAGAAAAAAAATATTTTTAATAGAAGGAAGAAAAAATAAAAAATAAAAAAAGGTAAATATACATAAAGTTGTTGGTTGAATTGAATTGAATTGAATTGAATTGAATTGATATGTCGTCAATGTCATTGATATTTGTATGGTTAGATAAGCGTATTGGATCAATACCAGGTGGAAATGAAAAATTAAAAGAAAAATTTCGAAAAATTCTTTCACCAATTCGACAATTTGATAAACCAACATTATGTTATGATTTTATTCATGATTCAATTAAGGATAAAAATGTTATTTTCTTAACAACATCAGTTTTTGCTGAAGAAGATTTTCTTCGTAAAATAGCATCATTAACAAATGTTTTTTTTATTTATGTTTATGATCAAGATAATAAACAATTTACAACAAATGATAAAGATTTATTAGAAAAAATGGGTTCAAAACGTCTTATTCATTTTGATGAAATTCTTTATGAACAATTAATTTATGATTTAGTTCAATTAAATATAAATAATGCTGATCAACTTATTATTAATGAAGAATATAAAAAAGCAAAACAATTATTTGAAGATGCCATCCAATTAATTGATACTTGTCAAGATGATATTAATCAAGATTTACAATCAATTAAATTTAATTTAACTCAAAGAATTCAAAGAATAAAATAAATTTTATTTTATTATAAATATATACATTGAAAACATTTACTTTTATTTAAACAAGATTGCTTTTTTTTTTCTTATTTTTGTTTAATTCTTCAATTCTATCTTTTATAAAAGTAAATTCTTGTTTTTTTTTTATTAAATATTTTACTGTTTAATAAAGAAAGAAAATATTGATTTATCTTTAACAAAAAATATTTTCAAAGTTTTTTCTAGTTAACTAAAAAATAATGAAAATTATTTCAATCGTTTGAAATATAAAGGGAAGATTTAATTGATTTATATAATTGACAAATTTGAAATAATTGGGAAAACGAATGAATAAATAATCTATATTTATCGATTTATTTTCAAATAAAAACATTTTTTAATATTTATCTTTCATCGATATTTTATTCGATAATAATATCGAATTGAATAGAATTATAATAACGATCTTAAGAAAATCATGTCTAGAGAGGCTACAATGACTCATCCCTTTCGAGTGACCATTCTCTTTCGCTATCGAACTGAATAGAGATCGCAGGAGACTTAGATATGCGAATAATTTTCTTCCAGTTCATTGACTGATAAGCTGATAGTCATTACTTACACCTCAACTAGGTCTCTTTATAATAGATGATTTACTCTTCTAGTTTATTTATGTTTTATATACTATTTTCTAGTCGCTAAAATTCTCTATCGAATTGTTTAGAATAGTTGACATTTTTTTGATAATGAGAGAAAAATTTTTTATGAAAACTAAACTAGGTCAATCTTCCCATAGAAAACGCACAGAAAATAGTCAAATTTTTTGCTAGAATTCAACAAAGTCTCGACCAATCACCAGAGTCGGCGCGAAGAAGTCGGAGCAGGAAGGGTCACTCCTCAAATCGGAGAAGGTCAAAAATTCTTCTCCAAATTGAAGTTTTCTTTAAATGAGAGAAAATTTGTCTAAGATATTTCTTCAAAATCGAATAAAATCCATCAAAACTGTTCACGAAACTTGAATTCTCTTTTAATTTAGAAGAAATTTCTAACGAATTTCTCCAAAATTGGATAAAATCGCCTAATAGTTTTCTCCGGAATTCGATTTTTCTGCTTTCAGATAAATATATAAAACAATTTTCTATAAATTCGGACAAAATTCAAGTTTGGAGAATGATTTTAGGCAATTTTCTCCTATTTCCGTAAAATAAATTTATCAACTTATTCTAAAAATCGGACAAAATTCGATTTCAGAGAAAATTATTAAACAATTTTCTCCAATTTTTAAAAAATTTCACTATATATTTGTTCGAAATCAGAGAAAATTCGTTAAAAGTCTTCTCAAAAATAGAATTTTCTCCTAGTTTAGAAAATATTGTCAAGCACATTTATCCAAAATCGGAGAAAGTTGCTTAATAAATTTGTCAAAAATCTGAGAAAAGTGATCCCCAAAATTTTCAAATTCGAATAATCTGGAGCAGAGGAAGATAATTCCCTGATCCCCCTCCCCCTGATCGTACCATCCCTGTCAATCGTTCTCATCTTCTTCTCTCGAACGAGATATTGATGAAAGAATTCTCTATAGAAAATTTCATCACAATCGAACTATTTTTTGAATATTTATCGTGTAAACGGCTGGACACACTGACCGATTCTATAGTCTACTCACTTATATAGTAGACAATAACACAATAGAATCGTCAATGGAGTTATTTTAGTTCTATTAAACTATTCGAAGATATTTTATTAATAATGAAAAACTAATTTGATTTTATTTTAAAAAAGTGACTCGAAAAGAATGAAAATATTCAAATATAAAATTGTTTTATTATTAATCGAAAAATAATTTTTCAAACTGAACCAAAATGATTTATTGAAATTTTCAACTAGATTTTATTTTATAATCTTTAACAAGATTTTATTCTAAGAAGATTTATATCAATATTTTTATTTTCTTATCATTAAAAATTGATTTTTTATAAAATATTTCTTTTCTTTTTATAATTTAACTTCGAATTGAATTTAATTAATAAATTGAATTATTTTTAAATTCGAATAATAATCATATTTAGAAGAATTTTTTAAAAATCTATTAGATTTTAAATTGAAATAGTCAACGTTCAATAAAATGTTATTTATTTAATATCATTTATTTTATTATCGATAAAATAATAAAAAACTAATAACAAATCTTTCTCATAGAAAATTCTTTATATTATTATTTATAAATAATTTAATTTTAAATCGAAATAAAGATAAATAACATGAAGAAAAAAAAACGACATGATATTTTTTAAAATAGATTTTTTTTAAGATAAATTTTATAAATAAATTTTATCTCGAAGATTTTTTTAAATCGAAACCTACTAAATAAACAAGTCGAAAAAAAATAAAAATTCATATTTTTATTTAGACAAATTCGATATCTATTAGATTTAAAGAAATTTTTTTCTTTCGTTTTATATCGATTGTTTAAAATGATTTATTTTAAAAAATATTCGATTTATGAAAAAAGAATTCTTTGAATAAAGATTAAATAAAATGAAATATTTCATTAAAAATAACAAAACTAAACTCTTTTATTAAATCAATTTAACTTATTATTAAAAGAAAATAAATTGATTTTTTTCAATATATTCTATATTAACAGTTAACATTTCAATTGATTATTTTGTCAAATTAAAAAAAATATTTTTATTTATTTTAATTCGATAAAAAAAAAGAAGTTAATGTGTTATATTGATATAATATATGATTATAAAATTTGGAATTTTTGTTTAAAACTCTAATCGAATATTGAATTAGATTTTATTTTAATATTATTAATAATATCAAATAAAAACATTATTTATTTTACATTTTTTAAACATTTTAAAAAAACTCTTCATCTATAGAATAAATCCGATCAATTAATTATATTGATTTTCATTTTTTTTTTTATTTTTAATTTGACAATTTTTATTCAGTCAATATATATATATTATCATAGAAATAATCAATAATAAACATTCTCAATTCTCGTTTATTAATTAAATCTAGATAGTTGAATTTAATAATTGAGATAAGATTCAATCTATATATATTTAAATCGATTTTATTTTCAAAAATAAAAACATAAACGAAATAATTCAATAAAATAACTCAGAAGTCAATATATCTCGATTTATTAAAATCATTTCTCATAATCATCTCTATATTCTTGAAAAAGATTTTTTTTTTTCTTTTTTCATTATTAAACTCAAAAAAAAAAGATAAGTTAAATATTGTTAAATGAATAAATTATATTTGAAATTTATAAAATTTCATCTTTGTTAAAGATAATATTTAAATAATAATCAGTAAATAAATGATCGAAATTCAATTAATTCGATATATATAATTAATGAGAAATTTGTTTCGACTATTTTTCAAATCATTATAAAATAAATCGTTTTTTAAATTTTATTCGAATAACTTGAAAATATATTCAATTATATTAAAATAATAAGGTTATTATTTAAAAGAAAAAAAAATCTTCTCAAAACTGGTCAACAATTTATGTTGATTAACACGTCGAAGAGTTTTTCTTTCAAGTTAACAAAATAGCTTGTCAATCTGTTTATATTGTGTTCCTCGTTCTAAAAGAATCTCGATTCGATAAACATATATATTCTCAATTATATTATATATTAAACAATTCACTTTTAAATCAGATAAGAGTGCATTACCAGATTTTAATTAAAAGAATTTTTTTTATTAAAACAATTAATAAAATATTTAATTTAAAAAAATTTATCAAAAATTCAAACGTTTTTTTTTCATTGGTTTACCTTGATTGATTATAATATAATCATTTTTATATTGATATTAAATATAAAAGAAAAATTTCAAGAATTTTTTTTTCTTTTTTATTTGAAAAAGATTCTAGACGTAATAATCATATCACTATATCCAACTAATATAGTTTACTTTTTTTAAACTATTTTATCTAACCAGATTATTTTCAGATTCTATCATTGACAAATAACAAATAACTTTTGCTTTTTTTTGTTAAAACTTTTTCATTTTAAATTTTAAAAAAAATCAAATTCGAAATTTTGTTTAAAAAAAAAGTGAAAATAAAGGTGTCATAACGAATGTTAGTGCTAGTTTTATTGGTAAGAATGAGAAAATACGATAAGTTATTACTTTTCAATCGATAAATATTCATTTATCGAATATTTTATTATTTATTATCAACAATAGTTAACTATAATATTATTATTGACTGATTTGTTTTATAGATCAATCTAGATTTTGAATAATCTTATTCATCTTTATTCAACGAGAAAATTTTAACAATAAATAATTATCGACAAAAACAACACTTTTTAATAATCTATTATTTTTATTCTTTATATTGATTTTGAATAATAAAACAATAGATTTATTCGACACATTTATATTTTTATTTATTTTCTTCTTTTAGATTATTAAAAAGAATTTTTAAATGTTCGAACATATTTATTTTAATTAATATATAATTAATTTCCTCTTTTATCTTCTCTCTCCCCGATTAACCTCCAATATCGACCAATTTTCTGTTTTTTTTTTTCTCCAGTCTCCGAATCGATCTGACATGATATTACTCCCATTATTAATCATTTTTCAGGTTCGGTCTCAATATAATAAATAATAATCATTGATTATTATATTTAATAGATAATAGAATAACTTATTTTACAAATAATAATAAGATAATATCTAAAACTTGTTGAAATTTTCAACTGATAGACAATGATATAAAAAATGAAAATGAAAAAGAAAAATATTCTTTTTCGAGTTGTGTCATTTTCAATTCTTTATTGTAAAATGTATCAATTGGCTATTGGTGTGTTGCTTGAAGCGAAGAAGAAGTTGGGGATGGTCTTAGATAATAGCGTTATTCTCTGATAGTTATTCTACTCTTGTTTTATAGGATATAGAAAAGGTTGAAAATAAGATAAAAAGATCCATAATGATATCTACCTATGAATAATAGTCTTTTTATTGTTATTTATCTTTGAGATTGAATAAATCTATTTTAAGAATGATCGATGATACATTATTTGGTTTAATCCAGCTAATAATATCGATTCTATTCAATAAATAAGCAATTGAGAATGAATTATTTAAATGAGTAAAACTGTTTGGTTATTAACTTATTTTTATTTGATTAATTAACAACGAACTTGAAAGGATTTGATTTTCGATATAATAAAATCTAACCGAATTGAGATCGAATCCAACTGAGAGATGATCGAATATCACCCAAATGGGACTAAATCATTTTTTTTAAAAATTGATATTGAAATATATAATTGAAAGAAAATAATCGATCCAATTCGAAAATGATTCGTTCTCTATTCTCTGATTGTCGATAAATAAAGTAACAAATGATTTATCATTGAAATGAAAATCGATTATTTAGCTAAATTTAATAATAAATGAAATGAATTGTTTGATTATTATTTTAATTGAATAGTTTTTTCTAAAATATATTTTAAATAATATTATATTCGATTTATTAATATGAATAAATATTCGAATATTCAAATTGATAAAAATTTTATTTTAAAATAAATAAATAATTTCATTGAAAAATACTTTCAATGATTTCATTTTTTTAATTTCTGTTAAATAAGGAGTATACAATTTTTTCATGATTTACTTAACTAATTACTATTTATAATCAATTCGAAATATAAAAAATGTCATTTTAGTTAAATTCTTTCAAATTGAATCTATTACCAACAAAGATAAATCTTAGTTAAATTAATAAATAAATTTTAAAAAATTCTTTTACGAATAACAAATTCTCAATAAAAATTCGATTAAATAAAAATTCAATAGAATTATTTCTTTAAGAAAAAAAAAAAGAAATGAATAACATATTTCTTTTCTTTTCATTTTCTTTAAAGTTAATCATAGATGTGTGTGTTTTTGTTATGAAAATAGTCAATAAGACACGAAAAGGAAGAGCGGCAAGTTGATTTGTTTGATATATTTGCAGGTGCTTTTTAGAAAAAGTGAACAAAAGAAAAAAAGCAAAGATATATATTTATATATATATATGAAAAATTTCTTCGTTATATTCTATTGACTTTCATATTAAGATTTATCTCATTTTTTTTAACAAACAATTAACAAATTCTTTTGAAAGATTTTTCGAAAAACTAATCATAGGAATAAACATGATAACAATATATTTATATCAAATTCAGATCAATTAAATCAATTTATGCTTTCATTAACATCTTACACTTCATTTAATCTCACATTTACATTTTATCAATTCGATTTTTTTTTCTATAAAAACAAAAATAAATCAATATGTTTTTTTTTTTTTTTTTTTCTAAAATATAAATGATGTTTGATGAAATATGTAAAATATTTGAATGATTTATTTAATGTATTATTAAATGAGTATAGTTGAAGAAAAGATGAAAGAAAGAGAACATAATAATGATGTAATATGATCAAGGATCAGCTTATCAATTGAAGATTATATAATTGATTATGAGGATATAATCCCACTAGTTTAACAAGAATATATTCTTCCATTTCAATGAACTAGATTTTTCATTTCGAAGAAAAAAAGAAAAAAGAAAAAAAGAAAATGTTGACCAATGATTTTGTTTTTTTTCTCTTTCCTTATTAAAATTGATGAAAATATTTGACGAAGGTCATTTGATAAAATGATGGAAATCGAACAAGAAGAAGAACAAATAGAAAAAGAATATCAACCAAATCGTGGTGGAAGAAAACAAGTTAAAATAGGTACAACACGTCGAAATGCTCGTGAAAGAAATCGTGTTCGTCATATAAATGCTTGTTTTGAAATTCTTCGTCGACATATTCCACATGAAATACATAAGAAAAAACTTTCTAAAGTTGATACACTTAAATCAGCTATGATTTATATTGAAAATCTTCGTCAGCTTCTTCAAACAACAACAACAACAACCACAACGACAACAACAGCAACAGCAACAATGATTTATCCCAATCAACAATCAAATATTGTTATACCAATAAATATTAAAAATGAAGATATATATTATTGGCATGATCAAGATTATAAATCAGAATAAATATATCTATTTATTCATATATATAAAGACCCCCCGTCGATATTGATTCGTTTTCTCTAATTATATTGAAAAAGAAAGGCATATATTGTTCATCAATTTAAATCTCCTACTGTTTTTAAATGTGTTTAGTTTATTGGAATAGAATTCGACAACTAATTATGTCCATATATATATATATATATATATATATATGTATTCTAATGTATGTTGCCGTGTGTCCATTGAATATGATGTAGATTGGTTGTTCTCATTGTCATTTCTCATTTCTCATTTTTCATTTCTCATTTCTCATTCCACTCAATGGCGTCGATGACTTTCTGTTTGCCTTGTTAATTCGAACATATTTCAATTGATTTCCGTTATTATTTCGTATCCGGTCAACTTCTCTTCTATCCGGTCAAGAATGATGATGAATGATCATATTGATTCAATATGAAATGAATCCTTTCAATATAATCCATATTATATATTATCTTTATCAACAATTAAAACAATATCATTTATTTAAATAATTATCATTTATTATTCTATTTAACTTCTTCTTTTTTATTTATATGAATTTTTCTCTTTTTTTTTTTAGAAATAAATCTTAAATTTTCAATAAATTTCTATGAATTTTTTTTGTCATTGTTTTATATTGAAAATAACGAACAAGATATATCTCATTTATTTTTAACATGTACAAAAAAAACAAAACGTTTTTATTTCTTGAGAGAAAACTAACGTTTGGTTTTAAATAAAATCATATTCTCATACGAGTAGATTTCCGTTTCGTCGAAAGCTTAATTGATCTTTCTGTTTGGTCGAAAAATTAAATTGTAATGAAAAAGAGTATAATCAAAGTGATAAGCTCAATTTCTTTGATTGACTTAAACTATATCTTTAACAAGAAACTAATTGATATTCCTATACTAGTAATCTGTAATTTTGCAAAAGTATATATATATATATATATATATGTGGAGTAAAGAGGGAAAATTCTTTTTTTTTTACTATATTGATTCATTATTACACAATATGATGCTATCTATTGTTAAAAGTAAACGTGATAAACCAATTTTATTACTTGATACTTTCTGCTACACGCAAAATAAAATTTTAAACACAACTGTTTATGGGAAATGTGAAAATTGTTCATGTCCTTGACGTTCTATACAATATGGTTCAAATCCACCAAGCATGAAGAAATCATATAATCATGATGGTGATGAGGTGAAATGTAAAATAAAAGAATTTAGAATGAAATTAAAATGACGTATTGAAGATTCACCACAGGCAATAAAAAGAATTTATTGACAAGAAATTATATTGTCGCATACAAATTCACCAGAAATTGCACCATTTATACCAATGATGCATGAGATGAAAAATGCATTATATAAAACAAAAAATACAAGTTATCTACCTGCTACACGTACAATTCATGATGTTAATATCGAAGTAATATGGAGTACAACATTAAATGATGAAAAATTTATTTTGCATAATTCAAAACATCCCATACCTAGTGAAAAATAATCATGGAAAAAAACGGAAGTAAACGCGTTCAACAAAACATGGTAAGTTACCTTTTTCATGAGGAACATGTTCTATAGTTTGGCGAATGCGTTCATGGGTAACAAGAATGATTTATGCATTTGAAGGAACGCATTCTTTGTCGTTCCACGTTTTTATGGGAAGATTTCTTCTCGGTTCAAAATCATTCTTCATCTGAAGAGAAAGCTTTCTGAACTGTTCATTTCTGGAATGGTCAGGATCGGATTCCATCAAAATGAGAATGCTTTCTTTGACCTTTTCTCAAGAAATAATTGATAATGGATTCTTCGAACTGATGAACGCGGTCGAGACAATCTGACATTATTCTTAGGGAGAAAAGAACGCGTTCTCTGTCGTTTTCCTAATTGTAGAATGCTTTCTCGTGAATTTAAAAATCAGTTTTAAAAATACAGAACACCTTCTCGTCGTTTCATAACCCATATAAAATTATCTCGTTATATTGAGAAAGAATATTGATTAGCTCCAAATGGATTCGTCAGTGTTCTCAAATATATTAAATTTTTTTGCTCATTGTTTTCTGAATACAAAATTATCATCATAACTCTTAGTTCTATTATCAACATCTGTTTTCAACGTTGAGCTTTTAGCTGTCGATATCGTGACAGTCTTATTTACAATACACTAACAGAAAACAATAAAAATAGACACAAGCAATGTGCAACAATAAGAAGGATTCTAGAAAAATTCAGAGTTGTTCGGCAAACGAGTATACAACAATTCTTCTCTTTGATGAATTTAACAAGCTTTTCCCACAATTTGTATTATATTGCCCATTTAGTTTTATTACATCTTAATAGAAGCAATCATTTCTTTTATCTAGTAAAGCGAGAATTAGTGCTCGTTCGATTATTTTCAATATTAATCAAAAAAATCCGTTTTTTTAAAATTCCTTTAGTTTTATTCAATCTTAACAGTAATAATCATTTTTTTCATTCGATAGAGATAAATTACTGTTTCTTTAGTTTTATTTCATCTTAGTAGAGGCAGAGTTAGTTTTCCTTTAATTTTTTTCCATCTTAATAGAAATAGTCATGTTTTTCACCTAATAGACATCGAGTTAGTGTTCTTCTGATTTTATTCGACCTTAATAGTGATGGTCATTTTTTCATCTAATACAGTTAGAGTTAGTTTTCTTTTATTTATATTATTGGACGAGATATAAGAAAATAAACTAATAGCAAAGTATACTAATTCGTCAATCATTTTATTTAGTTTTATTCAAAAACAATAGTGAAGCTTTCCATCTATACACAAGGTCATTATCAACACAAAATGATGGAAGTAAAAAATATGTACAAAATTGTTCTATTCTTTTCTTTTATTCTGTTCTGACTATTGATAAACATTGCAGTGCGATCGAAATATTATCTTTCCCTTTCATTGCAATGTTTATCAATAGTCAGAGCAGAACAAAGAAAAAGGACAATTTTGTACATATTTTTCACTTTCCATCATTTTGGTTGATAATGACCTTGTGTATAGGTGGAAAGCTTTACTATTGTTTTTGAATAAAACTAAATAAAATGATTGACAAATTAGTATACTTTGCCATTAGTTTTCTTTTGCTTTTATTCCATCGTAATAAAAGTAGTCATTGATTTTATCTAGTAGAGATAGAGTTAGTTTACCTATAGTTTTATTTGATCTTAATACAAACAGTCCTTTTTTTTTCATTCAATAGAGATAAAGTTAACATTTCTTTAGTTTTATTTGGTCTTTATCAGAAAAATCATTTCTTTCATCTAGTATAGTTAGAATTAGTTTTCCTTTCGTTATTTTCCATCTTAATAAAAATAAACATTTTTTATATGGTAAAGATTGAGTTAAGATTCCTCCAGTTTTATTGCATTTTAATCAAAAAAATCATTTTTTTTTCATCTAGTGAAGATATAGATAGCTTTTCTTTAGTTTTCATTCCATCTTAATAAATACGATCATTTTCATCATCTAGTAGAGATAGAGATAGTTTTCCTTTAATTTTATTTCATTCTAATGAAAATAATCGTTTTACCATCTAATAAAGATAGAGTTAGTTCTTCTTTAGCTTTATTCTATCTTAATAGAAGCAATCAGGTTTTTTCGTGGAGTGTAGTTATATACAGCAGTCAGTGACCCAGGTCGATCAATCCTATAGTCGGATCTTATCGGATCCGATAGGTGTCCTACAGGTATCTGATAGGATAATATCAGATCCGACAGGAATCCGTGAAACGAAATCACGTCGGGTCCCGTCAGTAGTCGAATCCGATCGGATCCTATAAGAGATCCGACAGTTGGATCCGATAGTATCCCAAGATCGTTATCTAGTACTGATAAAATGAACGCTAATAAAATTTGCAGCAATTAGGATTCATCCGACGGGAATCCGACGTGATTCCGTTTCACGGATTCCTGTAGGGTTTTGTCGGCTGGTCGAATCTTACAATATCCTATGAGATCCGGTATCGGATTGATGGACCTGGGGATTTCAGATTGAGTAGATTGAGAAATGTTTTCTCTGTTGACTTTGTTTTAGATGAGGATATACTTCTCAGATAGGGTATATGGATCTTATAGAACGATTGAGTGATGTTCCGGTTATCTTTGCTAAGGATTTCTGTAACAGTGCAGAAATCTAATAAATCTCTTTTCAAATTCTTTCGTGGAAAAGTGGCACCTAGATTAGCTTTTCCTATGAGAACTCTCCGAAGGTTCTCATAGGAAAAGCTGCTCTAGGAACGCGTTTTTCATCATTTTAAATTGTAACGACCAAGAACACATTCCGAGAACGTGAATGCCCTTTTTTTTAAGAAAAGAAAACGTTCCTTAAGGATGAGAACGTGTTCTTTACCGTTCCATTTCGGAACGGATTTCACTTTTATAAGCAAACATTTTTTTTCTTAAAAAAAAGTTTTCTACGAAATTGGAACGCATTCTTTTTGATAAATATTTTTCACTGGGTATTCGGGACATTAGAATTTCTTAAATAATTATCAAAAAGTGATAATGATTAGTTATTGTTCGATGGAACTTTTAAATCATGTCCACATCCATTCGATCAATTATATTCAGTTCATTCGAGAAACAGTGAATTATCAAAACCAAAATTATACACTTTATTACCTGATAAAAAAAAGGTCCAACATACATATCAATTTTTAATAGTATATTAAATTTATGTCATATAAATAATATTTGTTTGAATCCTAAATCTATTACAATCTACTTTGAACAAACTGCTATTCTTGCTATTAAATTAATTTTTCCAAATGTCATTATTAAAGGACGTAATTTTCATTTTAACAAATATATTTATCAACAAAAAATTAAGTGATATAAATGAAATTAATATAAAAAGTCTTTATAAAAGAAATATGAACACTTGCATTTATGCCACCACAAGAAATTGGTAAATTATGGGGTAATGATAATGAATGAATATCAAGATATTAAAATATCGAAGGTTTTTATAATTACGTAAAAAATAATTGGATAGATGATGATGATCGTGCTTTATTTAGTTATGTATGATGGACTTATTATGATTTTAAAAGTTTAAAGACTAATTATCATGTCGAAGGATGGTATTATCGATTTTAATAATCATTTAAATAATGTTGTACATCCACGTTTTTACCTATTCATTCGTGCAATTCAAAATGATTATGCTTATAAATCAGCAATATCATCACGTCATCCAGCAACTGGTATATTATCTCCACGAAAAAAGTTATTTGTAAATCGAAATGCACGATTACATAATTTAGAAGAACATTTTATATGACAAACATTCACATTGAATGAATATCTTGAAAAAGTTATGCGATTAATCGGAATAAAAATGTATTGATTTTTTTCTTTTCTATATTCATATTTTCTCTTTAGTAATTTCTTATTTATGTATCTAAATCTGCTGTATACTAAATTTTTTTTTTCACAAATTTATTTACAAGTAATTAGGCACTATTTTTGATTAGTATGACGAAAGGATCTCATCAAATGATAATCTATTCTTCATTGAGTAATTCGAATTTATTTTTTCGACAAAGCGGGACCTAACTCTCATATGATGATTAATCAAGTTGACAGATTCGATCTGATAATCAAACAAGATGAGTTCTTCTTAATTTTATTTTCAAATACTTCGAATCATTTCCTATTGATTCTTCATATAACTTTATTAATTAAAGATGTTTATTTAAAATTTTCAAAGAATTTATTTTAGATTGAAATATTCAGAGACATTATTAAATTAATAAACAAAGAAAAAAAGACGCGTCTGATGCCTTGTGAAATAATCAATTATGATCATATTATGATTGTTTGATTATAATATGCCTCAAAAGTCATTTCTATTTTTTTTAATTTTATCGGTAACAAATAAGAATTTGAGAATCAAAGGTTTGATTTTATCTCGAACTAAGAAAGACGAAATGCTTAAAACCTCAATCGTATAGAAGTTAAATATTTTTATGTTTTTAGAAGGGATGTCCTGAGCGATGGGCGGAGAGTCGGTTGGCTCATCACCTTCAACCTAGACAAATTTTCGATTTTCCTCAACGACGTTTTCACGTTTTATTCGTTTTTTTTGCTCATCAATTCTCAAAAAAAAAGTATTCAAGCCATCCTCCTCCGATCAATTTTAGCAAAAGTTATCTAATCGATCTCGTCACTAATCACACTCCTTCTCTAATTGTGGCGATCTCGGTATGCGCCTGATTCTCACGCATTTAACTTATGAAATGTTGTCAAGAAAGGAAATAGAAGTCTCTATGAATGAGATTGGTCTCTAATATGAATATATTCTATGATAATGAGAATTTTTCACGACATAGAATCAAATATTAGATGGAAGGAATTGTTTAGTATTTATGAATAAACAATATAAATCGATATTTGACAAGAAAAAACAAACTTGACAGACAATATATCAATTTTTAATTAATAAATAGATTTAGACGTTTTGTCAATGTTTATTTATTTCTAAATAAATATATAAATGAATAAAAAATTTTCGGCTAATTTAGAAAAATATTCAAATAAGCACATTTAAATGTTGACAATAACAAGAAAATTGGCAAGAACACATTTTATATTCATATGAAAATTTCTTTTCTAAATAAAATACTTTTCCTTTTAATTGTAGATCTTTGAAATTGACTGTTCGTTTTTTGTTTTTTTGATTAACTTATTGTTGATTTAATTGTGGAATGATCATTCTAGATAAGCTTGTTTATCATAGAGTGTCAACATATCTTCAGTTAGAAATCATTCTATTATTATCAATTGACAAAATAAAAGTTCTTTTTTTTAAGAATATTTTATTTGAAGTTGACTATTTAAGACAAAATGAGCCATGAAATAGTATATCGAATTATCTTCTTGGTTTGATTATCATAAGGTGAAACATAAAAAAAACCAAATATCAATCATCAAAGAATAATGACAAAAGAGAAAGTATATTTCAAAAAAACAAACTAACCTTGAACAGTTAACCCTTTCAGGTCCACCGTAGAAAATCTTCTACGATTTTTCAACTTTTATAATCTTTGAATAACTCGTCAATGCAAAAAGATATCGAGAAGCATTTTTTTCTGTGACATAAAAGAGACTCTGATGCGTACATATATAGTAGAAGAATTCTCACTCTAATGAGATGACATTGATAGGAAGCCTGGTGGATCTTTGGAATATTAGTTCTATTCTAAAAGAAGGAGGGTGAATAATACTCTTCTACGGTTCACGAAATACTTCGATTTTTTATGTTGAAATTAAGTTAGAAATGGATACTAGTTATATTCCAAACGGTTGGTTTGACGACAGCTCTCAATCGAATTTTCATCCATATCAATACTCTACGACAGAGATAAACGAAATAGTTGTTCGCTATCCCTGTGGAAGAGTATGGCTATGGACCGAAAATAAGTTTAAAAATTTAAAAAAAAGTGTTGACGAAAATATCAATAATGTATAATGCCCATAGAAGATATAAAGTCTTAAAGAAATATTGTCGTTTGCTTTATCAGTGGATAATCATAGTCGATTTATTTCTATAGAATAGATTTATTTCTATAGAATATTTCGAGAAAATTCTCGATTGATTCTCTTAAATTGAGTTATTTAAAATATAACTATTGATCAATAGAATTTATTCGTTTGAAATTGTCTAAGATTATATTCAATTGATAGCTACTCTTTTCTAACCATTTATTGAAGATATTATTTATATATAAGATAATTATCAGAAAAAGAATACTTTCAAAAAATTCTTAAGATATTATCCTATGAAAAAAATCTCGAATAACATTCCTCTTTGTTTAAATATTCTCGTTTCCTGTAGCGATTTTTCATCGTATTAAACTAATGTTGATATCGTCACAAACATTCGACGAAAAGAAAACAAGACAATCAATTGATTATAATCATTTCTAATATATAATAAACAATTATTGGAATATATCTAGTTTATGTTGTCCTTTAATAAACATCATTTATAATATGTTTATAGAGATCAGATGAAAATTTTTCAAGAATATTTTATAAAATAAAATAATCTTAAATATTTTCGAAAAATAATTTAGATTGATTAAACGAATTCAGGTTTTCTTTTATTAAAACATTCTAAGGCATAGATTCAACTCTTATATATATTATTCTTCATCATTTAAAACAATTTTAAAAATATTTCTTTTTTCTATAGAAATTAACATATACAACGGTAGTTATTATCCTAATATAACCATTTGACAATTCATCTTAATACATTATCATAATTTACTTATTATTTATAGAGATATATTTATATTCTCTCTTTATTAATAGAATATTTGATTAATTATAAAATAAATCTATTTATTATCGAAAACAATCTAGTTGATTATATTTATTAAATAGATTCAAAGATAATTATATTGTTGATTTATATAGGACACTAAATTGACTTCATCGATATATTATTGAGGATAGTTGTTAAACAATTTCGATAAAAGATTTGAATATATTCAAATAAGTATATTATTAAATAGTTAAAAACGATAATTTATAATAAATAGATCTTATATAATAAGATAAACGATCTCAACTATTTCTCGATTTAATAACATAACATATTAACCTATTTTATATTTATCATAGAATATTTTTCAAATATTCAAATAAATAATTTAACAAAACTTTTTAAAAAGTTCAAATCATTCGAAATTTTGTTCAATGGAATATTTTTTAAGAATTTCTTTAAAGTTTTCTTTTTTTTTTTCCTAATGATGTAAACCCTTTTAGAAATGAATACCGATAGAAATATATATTTATCTATATATTGATTGAAAAATATCATTTTTATAAAAAATCATATTCAAAAACTGATCAAACAGAATAATGAAGAGAATTTTTTTTTAAATTTATAAATAAAATTCTAAAAAAGAAAAAAAAATCAATTCGATGAATAATCAATGTTAAAGGTGAATAAAATTTTTAAAATTTATTTAAATCAATATTATATTTAATTATTGAAATAGTTCAATAATTAAATAATATCTTTATTAATTATCTTAAAAAGAAAAAATAATTATCTATTATCTTTGATCTTTGATCTTTGATCTATTTTAAATAAAATTAATTATTAGATTTCGAATTTATTTAAACATTATCGTTAACTATATTATCAACCGAATAATATATTATTTTATCTTAAATAAATCAACAGAAATATTTATTGACTAATTGAGATAGGTCAATTAATATTGATTACTTTAATATATAATCAAACGATTATTTCAAATTATCTCATCGACATTCTGTAAACATCTATGATATAATTAAATAATAATCATATGAATTTTTATTAAATCAGATAATAATCATTGTTTTCATCGAAATCGAGAAGGTTTTAGAGGAAAAATAAGAGTTAAGAATAATTAGTTAATATTATATATAAATCTATACGATTAGATTGATTATTATCAATAAGATTATTTTATATATAAATTGATAATAATTATTTATTTTCATATATTAATTATATTAACAAATAAAAATCTATTCACTCTAGTTTATATAAATAACCTGTTAACATGTTAACTATGATAAAATAGAACTATTTTCGTTAATATATAAAAAGAATATTTTTAAAAACTATCAGCTAAACAATAAAATATTAAAATGATGATTAATCCTTTGGATCTCTGAGTATGAAAAAAGGTAGATCTCTATTATAATTATATAAATAAATATTTATTCTTTTCGAAACAAGTAATAAAGAGTATTCTAGAATAGGATTGAAATATCTTCAAAGGAGATATATACTTGTTCATGTCTTTCTCTCTAAAATGAGTTAATATAACTGTCTATTTCAGATTGAAACTAGCAGAAATAATTTCGAACTGAAAGAGTTAACCTTGAAATAGAGAAAAAAAACAAGTTTTTCTTTTCTTATTATTTTCAGCTGATCTATTTCAAAGTTTTTCAAAACAAAAACAAAAAAAGACGAAATAAAAGAAGAGAGGAACATTAATTAAGTTATTGGATGAAATTGATTAAAAAAAACCTGAATGAAACTGATTTAGTAAAAGAGAAAATTTTTTATTAATCGTATTGTCGATTTAAATCAATTGAATAGATTATAATCAATAATTGTTTATAGGAGTCTCAATAAGTAAAATAATATTGAAAAATTTAATAAATTTCTTTTATGTCTTTATCTGTTCGTCTTTCATTTTTTCTTTCTTCTATATAGAAAATAAATCTTATCCAATTAAATCCTATCGAACAAGAAAATAAAACTCTAGA